ATATTGTAAAAAGGTTTCAGAAAATCTGAACCCTGCAACATAGAATTCCGCAAAATCATGCAAAAATGATAAATCTCGAGACACGGGGTTCAGAATTTCTGACCCCCTTACAAGCCAAATACTAAAGTGATTTCTGAAGGCTTTAGGTCCCGATATTGTAAAAAGGTGTCAGAAAATCTGAACTCTGCAACATAGAATTCCGCAAAAATCATGCAAAAATGATAAATCTCGAGACACGGGGTTCAGAATTTCTGACCCCCTCACAAGCCAAATACTAAAGTGATTTTTGAAGGCTTTAGGCCTCAATATTGTAAAAAGGTTTCAGAAAATCTGAACTCTGCAACATAGAATTCCGCAAAAATCATGCAAAAATGATAAATCTTGAGACACGGGGTTCAGAATTTCTGACCCCCTCACAAGCCAAATACTAAAGTGATTTTCGAAGGCTTTAGGCCTCTATATTGTAAAAAGTTACAGAAAATCTGAACCCTGTAACATAGAATTCCGCAAAATCATGCAAAAATGATAAATCTCGAGACACGGGGTTCAGAATTTCTGACCCCCTTAGAAGCCAAAATAGTAAAGTGATTTCTGAAGGCTTTAGGCCTCAATATTGTAAAAAGGTGTCAGAAAATCTGAACTCTGCAACATAGAATTCCGCAAAATCATGCAAAAATGATAAATCTCGAGACACGGGGTTCAGAATTTCTGACCCCCTTACAAGCCAAAAACTAAAGCGATTTCAGAAGGCTTTAGGCCTCAATATTGTAAAAAGGTTTCAGAAAATCTGAACCCTGCAACATAGAATTCCGCAAAATCATGCAAAAATGATAAATCTCGAGACACGGGGGTCAGAATTTCTGACCCCCTTACAAGCCAAAAACTAAAGCGATTTCAGAAGGCTTTAGGCCTCAATATTGTAAAAAGGTGTCAGAAAATCTGAACTCTGCAACCTAGAATTCCGCAAAAATCATGCAAAAATGATAAATCTCGAGACACGGGGTTCAGAATTTCTGACCCCCTTAGAAGCCAAATACTAAAGTGATTTCTGAAGGCTTTAGGCCTCAATATTGTAAAAAGGTTTCAGAAAATCTGAACCCTGCAACATGGAATTCCGCAAAATCATGCAAAAATGATAAATCTTGAGACATGGGGTTCAGAATTTCTGACCCCCTTAGAAGCCAATAGGTCCTTTTATAATAGAAAAAAAAGTTAAGATGTACATGTGCATGCCTGGTTTAGAAACCGTGTAATTCTTGAAATAATAGTTATATATAAACATGAAAGTTGAGTACTCTATCTACATCAACAAATTCTACAGTCTTATAGTTGTTTTACTTGCCAACCATCAGCTTTCTAAAGTTTCTTTTCGTGACGAATTCTTCATCATCAGACTGGACAATACAAAGACCATTTCGTTTCATCCCAACTGCAGCAACAACTGCATTGCCTGTAATAAGTTACCAATACTGAATATTAGAGAATGTTTCTAAATAATTACGTTTTATATATATATTAGATAGCTTAAGATCTACGACGCCGACGTCAGCTAGGACGTCAGGGCTATGCAGAGGACTGGGACGTCGTCCTAATGTAGTCCCAGTCCTCTGTTTAGCCCTGACGTCCTAGCTGACGTCGACGTCGTAGATCTTAAGCTATCTATTATCTATATATGGGGGTGATACAATTAAGGTTGTTCTTCCAAACAGTAAGACCGGAACTTAAACCTTAAACTCAGAGTAGGCCAGAGTTCAATAATCCATCATCCCTTGCACAATCAGAGTTTAAATTTTAAGTTTTTGAAAGAGAACCTTAATAGAATCGTATGTACAATGCACTTATGTATAATGTATATTACTGCATAAGCATTAGCTGCATGCAGGCCCACCAAAGGAAGAATAGTGGGCCTGCAAGGAAGACCGGGTATTTTGTATTTGTCATGTTCGCACACGAACGCAGCATTCTGATTGGCTGTTTGCTGTTAGACTGTATAATTAGATCAGTGATTCATCACAAAGCTCTCAATAAGCTTAATATTGGATCTGATCACTTTTTTCGATTAATAATGACCAGTACAAGAACCGATCGCTTATTGTTTACTTGAAGGAAGAGATGTTTTTGCCGTTATGCCAGCGGGATTGCTTGTCATGAAGTGTTAGAATAGCAACATTACCACTGGGGTAAACTATAGTATAAACCTTTTAATACTTGAGTTTTGTTAATTTAAAACAAATTTGATACGTTTATATGTTCCTTAAGAAAATTATGTTTTGGTTCATGTTGACTCTGTTCTTACACTGAAGAAAACAGCACTTTTCGTGGTGAAGATTTAGAGGTAGTTGCAAGTAAGCCTGTTCGAAACACTTTGCGATTTGCAGGGCTTCCTTTCTGAGAGGGCAAAACAGAAGATGGTAATTGCCATTTGAAAAGATCTGGAATCTGAACTCTCTCTTCTTTTGTCGAGTTCTTTAGCAGATTAAATAGCTGAAATAAATTTCGTACTTAGTGAAACTAAGTAAGTGAAATTGAGCACTTGCAAATTGGGCAGGATTTGGAGCTGACTGGTTTGCTTGCTTTTTTGCTTTATTTACATATTGTTTCTATTCTGAATACGCAGAGAAATCCCCGCATCATTTTATTGCAAGTTTGTTTAATACTATTTGGGTTGCTGTCGTTGGTTCTTGTTTGACAATTGACTTGCGAATGGGGCGTGTTATGAAAAGGGGCGTTTTACAAAACACCCGGTCTTCCTTGCAGGCCCACTATTCTTCCCTCGGTGTGCCTGCACGCGGGCTAGATAAGCATGGACAGTATTCACTGTAAAGCAAGGGCGGATTTTCATTTACATGTATGTAAAAGGAGGGCTAGAAAATTTTCTAGTGGGGTGCAAGCGGCACCACTCAGTGAGCTTCTGCAGGGGTTAGCCGTTTGGGTTAAAGCCTTTCACACAAAATAGGAGAGGTGAAGTGAAATTTTGGTGGGGTTGAACACTTTATTGGAGGGGTTAGAGAGATCCTAGGGGGGGGGGCGAATTCACTGAGGAGGGGTGGGGGGGGGGGTGTTAACCCTATGCTGTAAAGTAACAAAGTGGTCCTGTAGCTAAACAGGCATTAATTACTATAGGGTACCTTGTGAAGAGTTCATATCGAACACCCAATCACCTTCATGGCTAAACATTCTTATTAGATCATTTAACCAACCACATGCTTCCTCTGTCCTTGATTAATTAACCAAATGCATTCCTCTGTCCTTGATTAATTAAATTTGATGGACAACTTTCACCAAAGTTGAAATGGTCCAGCAGTAACTTATCACCAACAGAAGCATGGTACACCATAAAAGCACTAACTGACTGCACCATAGCAAGGTTTCCTAAGCCACAAGTAATACATGTAGATTAGACGGTGCAGTTCACGAATAAAGCGGGGCACATTACCAGTCAATGGATTAACAGGAGAAATTCACAGATAGAGAATGTTAGCACATTAAGCTGCCAGACTCTAACACCTTGACAAGTAAAATCATCTGGCATTAGACAAAGTAAAATAATAACATTGGGTGCATTTGAGCACATTGTCAGTCAATGGGTATTTGTATTACAAATATGGAAACTGCAGTACATAATTACCCCTTTGACAATGCCTAGAAAATTGTAAACATTTAACAATTATTCACCGAAGTGATTATCGGGGAATATTCGCCAAGACGAAGTCGAGGTGAATATTCCCTGAGCCTGAGGCGAATAATTGTTTTAGTATTTTTACACAAGTCTTTTGTGTTTTTCGGACTGAATTTATTTTAATTTTGCTTACTGTATTTCTTTACTAGTAACTTGGTTTTGTATTCACTTGTAGGTGAATATACAGGGTCTGAAATTTGCAGTATCCCGATATCCACAGGATACTAAACTTTGGTTTTGGATACCAAACTGTGAATGACTTGTATCCCAACTGGATACTAACAAAATTTCAAACATTAGGGAAATTTAAAATTTGTTCGTTCACTGCAACCAGGTATATCAATCATGTTTCGCTCGCTACTCTGGGTTAAATAAATTATTACAAAGCCCAGTCGAATTGTAATCAAGGGTCTTGATTACAAGGTCTTGATTACAATTCGACTGGGCTTTGTAATAATTTATTTAAACCAGAGTAGCGAGCGAAACATGATTAGGGAAATGTTAAGCACCTCTGACAGTCTCCTGATAGCTTGTAACAGCGAGAGTTATTGGATGGGATAGGGTAGAATACTTATGGTAACCAGTATCAAGAAGTGGGATATTGCATTCTCAGGGGGGAAACTAAACTTTGAATCCTGGTTCCCCAGTTGGATACTGAGAAAATATTTAAATTTCAGACCCTGGTATAATGTCAGCTTAATACATCCAATTTGACCAATCAACTTGTAGGATTTATTATATTCACTTGTGCAAAAATACTAAATATAATTAAGTTAGTACAATAATTAAGCAATTTGAAATATCATCACTTACTCTAGTAGTGTGTAAAACTTACAGGAAAACGAAGCAATTGTTCTGCTTTTGTGCACTCTGGAAGTTCTTTTGCAATTATAATCTCCCATGGTTTTCCAAAGAAAGAAGAGATTATCCCTTGAATAGGTCTAATTGATTTAAACTCTTTAGCCAACACTTTGAGCTCATCAAGACTGACGTCTCCCTTCGCAACCTTGAAAACAATTGTAATTATTATAAACAATGACTCTTGATATTACAAATCATCAGTTCATCCCTTATTATGTAATGAAATATTTATGTCAACAACTGCTGCATAGATACCGGTGTCCCAGGATTTTCGCCCCCCCTACATTTTCGCCCCCCGGGGGGCGAAATTCCTAGGAATATCGCCCCCCTTTAGAAAATTCGCCCCCCTTTAGAAACTTCACCTTTTCTTTAGGATTTTCGTCCTCCGTTCAAAATTTCGCCCTTCCTAACAGTTGCATGGGATAATTATTACATGGCTTTAATCATTTGAAATCAGTATCAATTCAAAATTGTTAAGACAGAGCTTGAAATAACCGATCACCGATCAATGATCGGCAAGGAATTGCTTATGATCGGCGGAAAAGCAGGTTTCGGTTTCCAACCTGAAAAAAGCAGGGAAAGTCACGACTGCCGATCACCATGATCGGGAACTTTGGGAACGTTATTTCAAGCCCTGCATGTAAGAATACAAATTTACAATTACATGTATCGAAAGGGCTTTACACAGTTACAGTAGATGAATACTCAATAGGACTTATGACGCTTCACAGCACACCATGCATATTTTGCATTTTTTTCAGTGTTAATCCTTAAACTCATTGTTAAAAATTAATCACAGTGGTGGTTATTGTAATTGTTGGTATTGTTTTGCATCCACGTTTTGTCGTTATCGGAAAATGTATGGTTTGTCACTATTTTTTACTTGCATTATTTCAATATAGTTTGCAAACTCAGAAGCGAAGGGTAGAACTTGGCAATAGGCAATAATCCAATAATATACGTTTCAAAAAAGCAAAAAAGACAAGAAAGCTTTTAGTTTTGCAGAGTTACATTCTCAAATGTTTAAGGCATGCACTAATAAAATCAAAGTATCATGAAATTATTTCAATAAACCACACCACATATACGATGCAATTTTCTTTGCGGAAGTGAAGGGTCAAGATTACATCACTGACACAGAAAGTTGACGATTCAACGGACAATAGTCAATACGCTTCCCAACAAATTCCATGGATTTTTTACTAATCCTATAGTTTATTGTTAGCAAGTGATTACTGTGGCGGCTATTGTTAACACTCGTATTGATAAAATTTGCAAGCGATTGTTTTTATAATATGTTATGTGAATGTAAACTGCCAGAAGAATACGACAACATGATTTTATGTGATCTCTGTGATGGCGGTCCTACTAAAGAATGCCTGGGAACGCCCGGGGAGATTCGTTGAATGCCCGGGAATGCCCGGGAGTTGGGAAAGAATGCCCGGGGAAAATTAAGTTCATAATTATGTTAGTTTATACTAATAAAATCACTTATTTTATGAAAGATGAAATAATTCTTGTAATATATGGCATTGCAAAGTACTGTTCACGGAATGTCCGGCTGTCACAAAAGAATGCCCTGGAGTCGAAAATGTATGCCCGGGGTAAAATTACGCAAGTAATTACGATAGTTAATGATAACATTAACAAGTCTTTTATTTTTTAATGAAAGTTTCTTGTAATATATGGCATTGCAAAAACTATTCACAGAATGCCTGGGGAAAATTACGTACCGCTGTCTTTATCAAATCTACTCAGAATATATCACTATCAGTGAAATATATTTTCGGTAGTGTAAAAAGATGTTTCTTCATTATTATTTAGCATTACAAAGCCAAATAAATAATTTCTGTGAATAGTTTTTGCAATGCCATATATTACAAGAAACTTTCATTGAAAAATAAAAGACTTGTTAATGTTATCATTTATAATTATCGTAATTTTACCGCGGGCATTCATTTTCGACTCCCGGGCATTCTTTTGTGACAGCCGGACATTCCGTGAACAGTACTTTGCGATGCCATATATTACAAGAATTATTTAATCTTTCCTAAAATAAGTGATTTTATTAGTATAAACTAACGTAATTATGAACGTGCATTCTTTCCCAACTCCCGGCCATTCCCGGGCATTCAACGAATCTCCCCGGGCGTTCCCGGGCATTCTTTAGTAGGATCCTGTGATGGTTCCACTTTAGATGTGTAGAATATGACACTAGTCTAAGTACCTCAAATTACTCGGTTATGCAGACTGCACACACCACCAGCTGCTAAGAAGCCTAAAATGTGTATGTGATTTTGTCTCCTTGTAATAAATAAATAAATCACACAATAAATCTTTTCAACTTGCAATCGTTTGGTTTTTAGATAAAAAATTCAAAATTTATATGGGGGGGCGAAATTCCTAAAGGGGGGCGATATTCCTAGGAGATTCGCCCCCCAGGGGGCGATATTCCTAGGAGATTCGCCCCGGGGGGGCGAATATCCTAGGAATATCGCTCCCCTTTCGAGAGGGGGGGGGGCGAATCTCCTGGGGGGGGCAAATCTCCTGTGACACCGGTACTGTATTAAGGGCTGTTTATATGTTCCACTGAGACAACTTCATCATGCGTTTGGACGAAAACTTGCCAAAGACGAATCTCTGGGTTTGACTGCAAAGGGTTTCCAGGATGTCTGGTAAACAGTAGCGTAGCCAGCCCGACGATTTAGTCCCGCTATGCAAATATTTTCGTGTTCATTGACTGTGAAAACAATCAATTTATAAAGAAATGAATAATGATAATAATTTTGAATTTGCATAGCGGGACTAAATTGTCGGGCTGGCTACGCCACTGCTGGTAAACAAATACTATACTGGAGTGCAGGGTCTGAAATTTGCAGTACCCCGATATCCACAGGATACCAAAAATTTGGTTTGGGATACCAAATTGTGAATGACTTGTATCCCAACTGGATACTAAGAAATGGTAGAATATGATTAGATATAGGCTATGGACTAGTGCAGGGTTCGAAATAACGGTTCGTGATTCATGAATCACGAATCAATTTTCATTTTTCACAAACCCAATTTCATAGAAATTGATCAAAATCACGAACAAAAAGTCTCTCAAATTGATAAAAATATACAATAATAAATTCAGTTCTTTGTAAATGCGATCAAGGATCATATATTCTGAAGATATTGTTGTTAGATTGTACTTAAAAATTATAATTCCAATGTATATTAGAAATTTGAAAAATGGAATGCTTCCACTTTTTAACTTCCAATTAGAGAAAAGTCCTTGAAAATTCCCTAAAATTTCCTTAAAATAAAAAAATTAATTCACAAACCATTTTTACAGAATTAATTCGAACCCTGGACTAGTGTATCTACATCTACATTTTATTAAGTCGGTAAAAATCGGACGATTATCGCACCAACTATAACAATACAAAATACAAATTCAAAAAACCTAACTACAACTATCTCAACCAATCAATAATAAAATATTACTTAATAAAATTCTTGAGTTCACTCTTAAAAGTATCTAGAGTTTCTGATAAAACTAATTCCTTAGGAAGACTGTTCCACTCAGTTAGCGTTCTAGGATAGAAAGAATATTTAAAAATGTCCTTCGTAGCTCGAGGTACTCTATATTTAAACGTATGACTATTTCGTGTTCTTGTTTCTTGACTTGGAACCAGCACGTTTTCCGCGTTCAAGTTAAGTAGACCACGACTTAACTTGTACATCATACATAGGCGCGTATGTTTCCTTCTTGTTTCCAATGTATCCCAATCCAGCTCTTTCGTCATGGCTGATACACTAGCTGTCCGATCGTAATTTTTTAAACAGAATCGTGCCGCTGATCTCTGAACTCTTTCAACAGCAGCAACATCTTTCTTATAGTAAGGGTCCCATGCTGTAGACGCATATTCAAGCGTTGGTCTTACAAGACTTTTATAAGCAACTTCCTTGACATCTCTTGGACAATTCCATAGGTTCCGCTTGATAACATGTAATATGACATTTGCCTTCCGAGTGGTGTTAGATATATGAGATGACCATTTCATTTTATTATCAAACATCAC